GAATATTTTGTTTACTCCATCTATGGTGATTGAAAGTTTTGCTGGGTAAAATAATCTGGGTTGGCATCCATGGTCTGCATGTGTCTGCATAACATCTGCCCAGGACCTTCTGGCTTTAGAGTCTCCATTGAGAAGTCAGCTATTATTCTTATGGGTCTGCCTTTACATGTTAGTTGACCTTTTTCCTTTGCAGCTCTTAATATTTTATTCTTTATTCTGTATGTTTAGTGGTTTGATTATTATGTGGCAAGGGAATTTTTTTTTAATCCAGTCTATTTGGTGTTCTATAAGCTTCTTGTATTCTCATAGGCATTTCCTTCTTTAGGTTGGGAAAGTTTTCTTCTATGATTTTGTTGAATATATTTTCTGTGCCTTTGAGTTGGTATTCTTCTTTTATCCCTATTATTCTTAGGTTTGGTCTATTCATAGTGTCTCAAATTTCCTACACGCTTTGTGTTATGATGGCTTTAGTGTTTTCTATGACTGATGAACCTATTTCCTCTATCATATTGTCAATGCCAGATTTTTCTCTTTCATCTCTTGCATTCTGTTGGTTATGTAGTTCCTGTTCATTTACTCAGATTTTCCATTTCCAGCATTCACTCAGTTTGTCTTCTTTATTGTCTTCATTTCAGTTTTCAAATCTTGAACTTCATCTGTTTGCTTTTTCTTGGCTTTCTTTAAGGGATTTATTGATTTCTTCCAATTTTTTGTTTGTCTTTTCCTCGATTTCTTTGAGGGAATTTTTTATTTCCTCTTTAAAGACCTCTACCATCATCTTAAGTCATTTTTAAGGTCAATTTCTTCTGTTTCTTCTGCATTGGGATGTTCAGGTCTTACTGAGGTAAAACCACTAGGTTCTGATGGTGCCATATTGATCTTTATGTTGTTGACTGTATTTTTGCATTGGCATCTACCCATCTCTTTCTCTACTCAGTGCAAGCTCCCTGTGTCTGAGGGAGCCTCTCTTGGTCCAATCAATACTCTTGGTCCAATAGAAGCCCTTGTTCTAATCAGGGCTCTTAGTCCAATTGGCACTGGCAGGCTCTGTCTCAGGGAGTAGCTGAAGTCTTGGAGGGTTGGTGGGTTTGGAAGGGGTGGGGTTTGTGGGTTATAGGGTCTGGTGGGGGATGGTGGTAGTCTGACCTGTCTGTAGGAGACCTGCCTACTGGCCTGAAACTGGGACTGCAAAGGGTGGTGGTGTGGGGGCACAGGGTTATGCCCCTGGGCCCAAAGCTTAGAGGCTGGGGTGTTCATCTATGAGGACAAAGATTCACCTCTCAGTCCAATCAGTGCTCCATACCACTTCTAATACAAATTTTAATGACCAGTTTTGTGCATTTTGTATGGTATAAAACAATGAAGGTTAGAAATGACAACAAAACCATAGTCACTGCACAAACTTAAGTCTAAATACTGAAGGCAGTACCTGTGGTATTTAGAAACAGAGAAGACACATCTCAAGCTGAACACCATTAGACGTAAGTATACACCAAAGAATATCCCTATAAGCTATTAAATACAAGTGTCAAATGAAGCATCCTAGAAAACAGTGATGCAGGTCCACTAACCATCATAAACCATGCAGACAACAGGAGGTAAGTGCTCAGCTCAGGAGCCAGAATGTCTTTATGGTACCATAAAGGGAAGAAGTACACAGGAAAGTAAGGTCTGTGTGCAAGCAAGCCAGCAGCTTTAAACAAAAGCTTACTCCCTTCCACCTGCCTTTTACCACAGCATGCCAACAACCATACTTCTTTGCCATAGGTTATGTTTAGGTGTTTATATTCATTGGGGAGCACATTTCTAGTGCTGAAATTTAAAACTATTAAAAATACTGTTTATAATACATCTATTTGTTTAGACTCAAACTTCCTGAAGCATGTATGTAGGAGTACCATATGTTATTTCCTAACAACTGCTACTATTGGGTAGATTGCAACAACATGACTCACCATCAGGGTGTTGATAATCTTGCTATAACAAATGTTATTCATATATAACAAAAACATCTTAGCCTACAAAGTACAAAAAACTACAGTATAACTACACGGGAATAAATCAATATCCCAAAGAGTCTAGAACTGAAAACTAGAAAAGTAGTTATGCATACTGAAGACGAAGGGAATGAACTCTTTTCAGTTTAGACTTTCTCTGCCCTAAAAACACATATTTTAATTATTGTTTTTCTTCTTTCAGCTTCATGGTGGATCCTGAACAACAATTAGATGTCCCTACACATTGTCTTCATTGTTCCAAGTACAAGTGTTCTTATCTAAAATGCAAACTGTAAAGTTCTCTGTGGTTGTCAATTGGCTGCACACTTTTGTTCAAGGTGTTTACTATAAGTATACTATTCTGAAGTGTGTTCTGTAACTATTTTCAAAGTTTATTGTTAGTATTGATAATTGATGCTAATTGATTTGTTACATTGTAATCAAAATTATAACAAAATCCTAATATATAAAAATGGTATATAAATTAAGTGATGAAATTGTGTGTTTAAAAAAAAATACTAAGTGAGAACTTCTAGCGCATTGTATCATAGGCCAGGGTTTGTAAACTGGCATACGCTCTAAAGAATCACATCCATGCTTTGTGACTTTTTCATTAACACATTCTTCTTCAATAAGGTCCACATGCCCACCACGTGGTCCTCCAACTATTCTCTTTATAATTCCTTTAATATTAACATAAATGCACTAAACAACCTTGGCTGTAGCCTATAGACGCTCTGTCCATGTGTCATGTTGTGAACTGGCTGTAGCCTGTAGAGGCTCTGTCCGTGAGTCATGTTGTAAAGTGGTATTTTGCAAGTGAACACTCTGTAGTAACTTAGAGCATTTACTAAAGTGACACCTTTGCTTGTATGACTCTCATATATAAGCTAAACATTATTGAGCAAACATTGGGGAAATTAAAGTTTATGGCAGAAGGCTTTGACATATGAGCCAAATAGCTAACTATTCTTATGAAAAGTGGACACTTGCATTTCAATGAAGATTTTCAAATTCAGTACTTTAAGTCTAAAATTTCAACTCAACTGAATAAAGAAATTTAAAATAAGCACAAAACTTTAGTACTGAATATACCTATTTTATATACTTCCCTAAGATAACAACTACACAGCTTATCTATTCAAGAACTCTATAACTCTTGTTATAGACTCTGCTATGAAAATACACATAGAACTGTTACCATGTTATTCTCTGATATAAATGCCTTTGAAACTCTGTGTCTTAAGGGGAAAAAAACATGTAAAATATTGTGGTATTTTTAACAGAAAACTTGAGTAAAGGAAAGCTTGAATGAAAGTTTCATTTCATAAATATGAGACTCAATCTAGAATATTATCTCAAATAATTTATGGGACATTGATTTATTGAATGCTTTTGTATAATTTCAGTACTTAAAAATCTATGTAAAATTTCATAGTTTCTGTTAGACCAAATGAGCAAATTTCTACACACACACACACACACACACACACACACACACACACACACAGTGTATATGTATATTCCTCAAGCACTATGAAACAATGCCTGACTCAACACTTTTGATATAGATATGCAAGGCAAAAATATTAATGGAGTTTTTTATAAAATGATTGTTGAGACAAAAATTATACATTTGTGTGAAAGGCAAAGAGACAGCAGGGCAGTTTTTGTAGTCTCACTGTGATTATACACTGTAAAGTTCTGAAACCAGGGGTCTTTCAACATACAAATGCTTTTTGGAAATGCTGGTTATAAATGATTTCAAAATACAAATTACAACCAATCCAAACATTGTCTTAGCTGGCCAACTTTATATTCAACCCTAAAATCCTACCAAGTATATTGCACATAAGGCAGTTCTCAAAGTAGCATAGTAGTATAACTGAAGAGGATCTCTGCTCAGCAACAGAGTTTGGAGAAAGGCCTTCTGCTTACAAATTGGAATGAGTTTTGTAAATATATTAAACTAAAATCAAAAAGACTTAAGAAAAAAAGCAAATAATTAACCAATTTAACTCTATGGTAAATCTTAACTATTATGCATATATTTATGTGTTTTTAAGTGTGTGTATGTGTGTATGAATATGTATGGAAATATGTATGGAAACAATAGGAGGCAACACACACACACACACACACACACACACAAACACACACACACACACACACACACACACACACACACACACACGATTCCATAGTATAAATATCTCTTTCAAACAAACAATGCATTTATGCTTAATGAACAGGTGTCTTTTTTTTCTGTTGAAAAACAATTCTTTCTCTGAGGAGTAAAACAATGAAAAAGAAGCTACTAAAAGAGCAAGCTGGGAAATCTACTGCAGCAGAGGTGCTGGCTTTAGTACTTCACACTCAGGAGAAACAAGGTTTCTGCTGCTAGTGACCTCAAGTGACTTCCCAGTGGCCCTGAACACAAGTGTGAAGGACTGGGTTTATGCTTACCTTTCTGTCTGCAGTATTCCTGAAACTTAGTGCACTAAATTCCTAGGAATTAAAAGTTTATGCATTAAAATTCTTTATCCATATATATTCTTATTATGAGAAAATACAGAATTGAAATTTAATATACCTCAATTATTTGCAAATTCCTGAATTTGTCCTCCTTCAGAAGCAATCTCAATTTTATTTTCCAACTGCTTGACTCTCAGTCATATAATCTGATGAGTGTCATTAAGTATCAGCTACTTTTCAACATCAGTTTCATTAACTATCATTGTTTTCAAAATGTTTATCTCTACTAGTAGTTATGGATCTAAGACCATGTTATTATTAAGAACCTAGAGAACAATCAATCATATATTTGAAATGTTTATCAGAAAGTCTCCTCCCCTCTTCCACCACCATTGATAACTGCTTTGAACACCCTGAATCATTCTGAGCCTCTGGAGACATCCTTATGACCTGTTCAGTGGTGGTGTGAAATCAGTGGGGAAAAAAGGAACACTGGCTTTACAGGCAACAAAAATTATGTACCATGTATACATCATAGCAAATACTTTATATTTGAGAATCTTTACAGCTTACATTTCCATTCCATTATTACAAGTGATGAAAAACAAGAATTGCAAGTAGCATGCAAATTATAATACAGTCTTCCCACTTCGCCAACAACATCCCCACTTTTGAGTGTTACTTCCCAATTTTTGCAGGAACTGCCTGCAAAGCTGAAACTGATTAGAAAAATTCTTTATAGTTTAAAATATCTCTTTCTCATTTTATGAGAAGCCAAATAGCCAACCATCAAAAGTAAAAATAAATTGAATCGTCACAGTCCATTAGTTATTGTTACTAGGTCCACTTCATTTGCAGGTGTCCAAAATATAAAATGAATAATTCTTTATCTTCAAATTCATCTGTTCTTAAAATGCTACTTATAACTTTGGTTGTTTTCCTGTAATATAGAAGAAAGATAATTTATCAATTAGACTAACGGAAAACAGTTTTCACAAATTAGCTTATTCAATCAAATACTATGAATCTACTTCTATGTAAATGCATGTTACTATAGAAACAAAGTAACTGGAACTATCAAATACATTTGTGTTTCAATAAACTTATGTAATCCATTTTTAAATATAATAAATTGTATTCTAAGTCTGTTGTTCTATTTCTGTGGTAACTAGTTTTATAAATGCTGTTAATGCATAAAACAAAAGTAAGCAATTCTAATGTATACTTATCCAAAATAAGTTTGTCAAGCTTTTATTAACAAAATAAAGTGTTAATGAATTATTTAAGCCTGGAAATAAAGACTGATTTGTTTTATGAATTTATATTTATTCTTACAAACCAAGAAATTTTATGTTCCCTTAATCTTCAAACAGGTGAGAAAATCAAGTATTTAAAACCTTCACCAAATATTCCTTTCTTAAGAGTATTATTTAAAAAATTATTTCCTAGCTGGGCAATGGTGGCGCACATCTTTAGTCCCAGCACTCAGGAGGCAGAGGCAGGTGAATCTCTGTCACTCTGAGTTTAAGGCCAGCCTGGTTACAGAGTGAGTTCCAGGACAGCCAAGACTGTTTCACAAAGAAACCCTGTCTCGAAAAATAAAAAAATAAAAATTTAAAATGTTTAAAAAAAAAAAAAAAAGCAGTCTATCCTTTGGGCTGAAGAGATGGATCAGAGGTTAAGAGCCCTGGCTGCTCTTCTAGAAGTCCTGAGTTCAATTCCCAGCAACCACATGGTGGCTCACAACCATCTGTAATGAGAACTGGTGCCCTCTTCTGGACTGCAGGGATACATGCAGGCAGAACACTGTATATATAATAAATAAATAATTCTTTTAAAAAATGTATTTCCTGATTTAATTTGAAAAAAAAATGGCTGATGAGTTAGTGAGATGACTAAGTGGATAAAGGTGCTTGCTGCTAATCCTGATGATCTGAGTTTGATCCCCGGGACCTATATGTGGGAAGAATAGTGACTCCTGCAAAGTTATTTTCTGACTCTATGCATGTGCAGTATCAGGCATACACACACATGCACTGTAGATAAAATACAAATGTGATAAAAAGTGTTTAACTGGCTGGAGGCACCTAAGCTGTTAGGAAGTTTCAATTATAGAATATTGATAGAAAGAATGAATATAAAACATTTTAACTTATAGCCAAGGAAATATATTTATTTACAGTGGGGTTTGTATGTGTGTGCCAACTGAAGCACAGATACACATGCATGAAGGCCAAATGGGGATGTGAAGTTTCTTGCTCTATGACTTTGCCTTTTTCTCTTGAGATATGGTGTATCACTGAACTTGGAACTCAGCTGACAGTCAGCAACCCCCTATTTCTATATGCATCCACACCCAGCTTTTTATATGGGTTCTGGGGGTTCAAATTCAGGTCTCTATGACTGTGTGCCAAGTGCTCCTGTCCAATGAACCATCATCCCAGCCTCATGACTGTGGAAATAGTATGAATTTTCAAGACTTAAAATTCCAAAAAGAGGAAAATGAGAAAGTATTCTATACCCCATAGTGGAGCTTTTCCAGGCAAACTTACAATGCTGAGTCTCATCTTAAAATTATAATAAGACAACTAAAGGAGATCAAGAGGATACAAATTGGAAAGGAAGAAGTCAAAGTATCATTATTTGCAGATGGCATGATAGTATTCTTAAGTGACCCCAAAAATTCTACCAGGGAACTCCTACAGCTGATAAACACCTTTAGTGAAAGAACTGGATACAAAATTAATTTAAAAAAAAAAATCATTCGCCCTCCTACATACAAATGACCAACGGGCTGAGAAAGAAATCATGGAAACAACACCCTTCACAAAAGTCACAAATAAGGTAAAATATCTTGGGGTAACTACCCAAGGAAGTGAAAGATTTATACAACAAAAACTTGAAGTCTTCAAAGAAAGAAATTGAAGAAGATATCAGAAGATAGACTGATCTCCCATGTTCATGGATTTACGGTAGGATTAACATAGTAAAAATGTCCATCTTACCAAAAGCAGTCTACAGATTCAATGTGAACTCCATCAAAATTCCAACACAATTCCTTACAGACCTTGAAAGGACTACACTCAACTTCATATGGAAAAACAAAAACCCAGGATAGCTAAAACAGTGCTGTACAATAAAAGAACTTCCAGAGGTATCACCATCCCTAATTTCAAACTGTACTACCGAGCTATGGTAATAAAACCACATGGTATTGGCATAAAAACATACAGGTTCATCAATGGAATCGAAATGAAAACCCAGACATAAATCTATACACTTATGAACACCTGATTTTTTTTATAAAGAAGCCATAAATACACAATGGAAAAAAAGAATCTTCAATAACTAGATGCCAGCATGTAGAAGAATGCGATTATATCCATATCTATTGCCATGCACAAAACTCAAGTCCAAATGGATTAAAGACCTCAACATAAAACCAGATACACTGAACCTGATAGAAGAGAAATTGGGAATAGTCTTGAACATGCACAGGAGACAACTTCCTGAACAGAACACCAATCATACAGGCTCTAAGAACAACAATCAATAAATGGGACCTCATGAAACTGAAAAGCTTCTGGAAGGCAAAGGACACTGTCAATTGGACAAAATTGGAAAGATTTTCAGCAACTCCACATATGGCATGGAGCTAATATCCAAAATATATAAATAACTCAAGAAACTAGACATCAACAAACTAAATAATCCAATTAAAAAGTGGAGTGCAGATCTAAACAGAGAATTCTCGACAGAGCAATCTCCAATGGCTGAGAAACGCTTAAAAAAATGTTCAGGGCCTGGAGAGAGGTCTCAGAGGTTAAGAGCACTGACTGTTCTTCTAGAGAACCCAGGTTCAATTCCCAGCACCCACATGGTCACAGCCATCTGTAACTCTAGCTCCTGAGTCCCCAAGGGCATCAGGCAGACACATGGTACACATACATGCTAATATTCTAAAAAGAAAGAAAAAAGGGAGGGAGGGAGGGAGGGAGGGAGGGAGACAGAAAGAAAGAAAGAAAGAAAGAAAGAAAGAAAGAAAGAAAGAAAGAAAGAAAGAAAGAAAGAAAAACGTTCAACATCCTTAGCCATCAGGGAAATGCAAATCAAAACAACACTGAGATTCCATCCTATACCTGTCAGAATGGCTGAGATCAAAAACACAAGTGACAGTTCATGCTGGTGAGGATGTGGAGTAAGAGGAACATTCCTCCAGTGCTGGTGGGAGTGCAAACTTGTACAGCACTTTGGAAATCATTATGGTGGTTTCTCAGAACTTGGAGATTGATCTACCTCACGACCCAGCTATACCACTCTTGGGCATATACCAAAAGGACACTCCATCCTACCACAAGGACACTTGCCTGGTATTCTTGTAGACCACCTAACAGTGGGAATGGGGGTACCTCTGACTCTTTTGCCTGCACTTGGGACCCTTTTCCTCCTATTTGGTTGTCTCTTCCAGTCTTGACATGAGGGTTTGCGCCTAGTCTTATTTGTTATGCCATGTTCAGTTGACATCCCTGAGAGGCCTACTCTTTTTTTTTTTTTAAGGAAATGGAGGAGGAGGAGATCTGGGGAGAGGAAGGGCATGCTGGGGGACTGGGAGGAGGGGATGGAGGGGAAACTAGTTGGGATGTAATATATAAGTGAAAAAATTTTTAATGAAAAAAGAAAAAATATTACTTTTACCTAAAGCAAATAGTGGTTTTGAGAACAAGCAAAAAAGGCAAAAATTAGTAGAGATGAAAAAGAACATAAAAAGTTATGGAATGCAAAATGACTGGTAGGCACATTATTTGTATTTTTATATGTTACTTGATTTAATCCTAGCCACACAGAAGTCATTAGCCTCATCTTTAATTACAAAATTGAGGTTCAAGGAGAGTTACTGCCCAAGCTTGAACTAGCAATATGCAGAGTGTAGCAACAATTTGATCAATTGTCTCTACCACAAGTGTGATAGGGAAACCCGTGTCCCTTCCAATAAGCATCCAGCAGGGTACAGTATATACTACTGTGTATATTTTTCTATAGTTGGTGGTTTGGCATGGAAATGTAAGGGGCTAAGTAGCAAAGTAAAGAGATAACACGGGTGGCCTGTATTTTAAAAAAAGACTAATTGAACGAATAGAAGCCTACAAATAGGCCAGGGACACATTACCACACAGTGTCAGGGCACTGCCTTTCTTTAAATATTGCTAGGATGACTAGATATCCACACAGGAAAAAAATTAAAACAATTCTCACTTCATATTGTTGAAAATAAATTTCAAATTTCAGGTAGATTATAGAAGTTAATTGAAAACTAAGCTAGAACTTTTAGGCTGCAAGATGATATTTTCATAATCTTTCAGCTGAAGAGTTTTAGCATTCAGAAAATAAAAATTATTTTGTTTTATCTCTTAAGTAGAATGATGATTATTTTGATTGATTACATGGGTACATTTAAATTATTGTGCTTTATGTACTACCATTACCTTACAATACAGAATGTCAAAATTCTTAATCTATAATAATCAAATTAAAAATGTTAAAAACTAACACCTGGGACACAATTGTGCAATAAAAGTTCAGCAAATGACTCACTGGTTTTTGAAGTACAATGGGATGATCAGGCAGAAAGTCTGGTTTTTTTCTGCAGATGGAAACACTTGAAAGCTTCAACAAGAAATCTCTGCTGTATTTAATTCTCTCTGTAGATAGTAAAATTTAAACATAATTATAAAACAATACTATTCTAGATAACTCTTCGACTTGGTTTTGGATGTCTCTAAACTATCCACTATTTTATTAAATGGCAGGCAGTATCTTTTGAAAAGATAGAGGGAAAAAGCTTATCAAATTTTCCTTTCACATGGAAAGAAAGCCAAGGAAGGGAAAAAAGGAAAGAAGAATCGGATGGAAAAATATGTAATACTTAATATGAGGGCTTACTCAGGTATAATATTAGGTCAAGGTGACCTAATATTATAAAGTGTAACAGCAGCAATATATGTTGACTATGCCAATGGATATTATTAATATCTATTGTAATATTCAGATCATGCCAAAATGGAACCACAGTGATCCTATCTAATCTCAATCAATACTATAATTTTAATATAATCAAACTAATTAAAAACATTTATTATATGCCTATTGTATATCAAGAATTATGCTAGATGATGGTAAAGAGTTCCAAGACAGGGTCCCTATCTTTAAGGCAACCAACTATTCAAATATCTGCCAATTTCTCCTCATAAATCATCCAGAACTATCACCAATATTAACCATATGCTGATGTTGAAAGCAATGGCCATAATACTGTAAAAGAACTAAAAGAAAAGAACTGACATATTTCTTATCAGTGTGGAGAGAAAATCCCACAGGAATTCTTCTGACACTCTCTCATAAAGGAAAGCAAAGGAATTCACTAGCAGACCTGATCAACAAGAACTGTTAAAGGAGGTCACTCAAGTTGAAAAGAAATGATCCTAGATGGAAACTTTCCTCTTCAAATGCAAGAGCACAAGAAATGGTAAACTGGCCAAGTGCAGCAGACTCATGCTTTTTCCTCTAAATTGTATTCAAATGTGTGTCACTGTTAAAGGCTAAAGTTCTAATGTGGTCTGGTGTGTCTCTAAATTATAGATGTATAGAGTGGCCTGCATACATGTCCAGAAATGTATGATCATCACCATATACTTGAAATAGTACAATATTAAAAATAAGTAACAAGGTTAACAAGGTTAGATATTATAATCCCTAGATTATAACTAAGAAAGAAAAGGAAACCAGAAATCAGGTCAATAAATAAAAATGAAAATAAAAAACACAGTAGGCAAGAAAAAATAAAATAAAGTAAAAATCATCTATTATCAACAGAAACAAATAATAAAATAATAGACCTAAACCTAAGTATATCAACAATCGCTTTAAATGTGAATGCTCTAAATAAACAAGAACTTCTCTTAGGAAGGGTCAGCTAACAAATATTTGAGAATCATGGAATCATACAACCTGTTACAATTATTCAATTTTGTATCATAGCACAAAAGTGGCCACCAATAATACATAATGAAGAATGTGGTTCTATTTCAACAAATTTTGTTTCTAAAAGAAACATTTGATCCATAAGCCATAGTTTTATGACTCCTATGAAAAGCATTGCATAAATGCATACAAGTTGACACTGGGTAAAGACGACCTTCTTCTTACTCTGTACTGCCTGCAAATGACACATTAAACAAATATATTTGTGTGGAAGCTATATATACATATATGTGTGTATGTTGTAGATATATGTGATATATATAAAATTCTAAGACTAGGAATAAGAAATCTGAAGTGGCTAGCTATCTTCTCAAACAAAGAGGTATTTATCATTATGTTCTACATAATGGACTTCTAAAAGACATGAAGCAACTTTAACAGAAATAAATTGGTAAACTTAGACAATAATATCAAGTACTATAAAACCCTCTTTCAGAAAGTAAGAAAATTAAGCACAAAAATCAGCAGCAATCTCAAGAGATTTATTAAATATTTTATCTAACTAAAATTATAAACATGACACCTAAAAACATAAGTTCCTTTTTAATATATTTGGTACAATATACAGATAGCAGCTATAAGTCAAACCATAAACAAGTCTTTATAAATTAAAGTCTATATAATAACAAAATTAAATTATAAATCTGTAATAATGCCTATAAAATCTCAAATTTCTAACAAGTCAAATAATATATTTCAACATACATTCATAAAATACAATTAAAATATTTTATATTTTTGGTTGTGAGCCTAGCCTTTAAAGGCTGAGCCACCTCTCCAGCCCAATTAAAATATCTTAAAGTAAACAATTCAAATACAGCATTTAAAACTTGTAGAGTGGGGCTAGAAAGATGACTCAAAGGTTAAAATCTTTGCTGCTCTTGCAGAGGACTTGGGTTCAGTTCCCAGAATCCTCTTGATGGTACACAATTGTCTGTAACTCCAGGTTCAAGAGATCTGACATCTTCTTCTTGCCTCTATAGGCATCAGATATACATTTGGTGCCTGATATATATACTCAGGCAAAAAAATTCATGCATGTAAATTTAAAACATAAGTCTTTCTCAAATATGTACAATGTGGCTGAAACGTAGCTTCAATGGGAACGAATTCTTATTGCATCAAAGGTTTTGGGCAACTCTATTGCTGAAGACATCACATATTTGAGTCATAGAACATGGAGAAATCAAGCTGGTACTGATCTAAAAGCTTCTCCCTACTGGCTAGTTTTCATAGTACTGGAAGGTGCTATGAACACTACGAGAGAAGAAAAGTTAACCATCAATCTTACCTCACTCATCTCACACCTTGGGAGCCATAACAATGACTAGGCTGGCAAGCCATGCCCACTTTGGCAGTAGTACCATAAACATAACAAGCGTTATCAATCACTTTGAGATTGGATTTAAGGCCTGTTCCACAACATGAAACCCACACCTGGCACCATTATCGGGCCAAGGACCTATAGTTGAACAATTCATAGGCCATAAGGGAGAAGTTACTACTTTAAAAAAAATTGTTTTTGAAGGACAATACCAATAGACATGCTAATATCGACAGAGGAAAGCAAACAGGCTTTGACCCTACAGTAAGAACTACTGGTAACTAAAAAATAATAAGAGCTGGAGAAGTAGTCTTCCCAGAGAAGAACATTCCAATCGGTTATCAATACCAAGCGGACATCCCTAAAGTTACTACTTTTATTCTGCTAAGTGAACACAGTATTAAAGTGACTGCTAATGACTTAGATTAATGCATCTCTCAACCTTTATCAGAGAAGATTCTATTTACTTGATGAACACAGAGACTCACAACTGGCCATGGTGCAGAGAATAAGACACTGCAGAATGATCAGCCCTAAATGGAACCGACATACTCCACCTCCTCCTCCAAAGGTTCAGAGATCATTGAAGAAGAAGAGGTAAGCAGACAGAGTGTAAAATCCAGAGACTGTAGACAACCATAGGAAAAGTGTCTTCTGGATACAGAAGGGCAGAAGGGCTCATATGAACTCACAGTGCTATGACAGCCTGCACAGGACCAATACAAGCCCAAGTCACGCCAAATCCCGGCGTGGAGAGGGGTTTGTGCATGAAGTCCCTTCCCTAGCCAAGGAGCTCTTGGCAACTGTTAGAAAAAGGTTCATCATTTTTTCTTCCAGATTATAGATCCTGATAAACTGACCACAGTCCAGTAGAATACTACACATCTAAGAATATTGGGGTAGCAGAAATTTGTCTTAATGAGTTTCAAAGAGTAAAAAGACACAGAATTGGATTAGTAGGGAAGTGGAGGGTAGGGGGAGATCTGGAAGGAGTTGTGAGAGGAAGGTGAGTGTGATCAAAGCACTTTGTACAAAATTCTCAACTAATAATACATGTATGTTTTAAACATATGTAATAAAACAAAACATATAAAGAAATGTTTTGTTCTGTTTCTGTGTTCTTCTAACAGTATACCTGACTCTAGATCATTGAGAAAGAAAAGCAGCTGATCATTCTGGTGGCTGAAAAATCCAAACACCATGGCATTTGGGAAGGAAGGAACTGTTGACTTCATCTTAACATGCAAGGAGGCATCTTAGCATAGGAGGTGTGAACATGTTAGAGAGACTGGCATTAATCTATTTTAAAGACTAGGTCCCCATTCTTATTACTATAATGGGGAATTGAGCCTCAATAAGAGGTTTGTGGAGACAAATCATATTATTAAGAAAATAAATATATACAAGTAAAGACCTAATAAGCTACACTGAAATGCTGGGGTTCAGTGGGGGATAAAACAAACCCCAAGTAGGACAAAGGAATTTACAATCACCAAAGACAAAGCAAAACAATTAAAGACAAAGCTGCTTCTTACTATCATCTCAGTAGATTGATTAATCAACAAAAAACAACCTCAATGACCACTGTCTAGAAAAAGAATAGAGTTCTTATCAAACATTAATTATAAAATAAAGAGATAGGATGAGCAACTTCCTACCAACATTCAACATGATGAAAGGGCTATATACATATTTGAACACAGGTTTTAAATTTCCTTGATATGGCCATTTGAAAATTAGAGTCTATTAGATTTACTGCAACTGAAATAACAATGATGAGCTATGAATGTCAAGTGCTGTCAAGCAATTAGAGTCACAGATACATATAGCTACAATGTCACTCTAAAACAGTATGATGAAATTATGCATCTACCTCTTCTATGGTATATCAACCCAACTTCTACTCTAGAGAAGTAAAAAAATCCAAACAATAACTTTTTATATAAACAATCAATATCAACAATAATCAAACATTAAAATGCAAAAGGATAAATAAAATGTTGTATAGCCATATAGTGAAATTCCTATCCACCACTTTTCAAGAAAAAACAAAAAACAAAAAAGTAATACACAATAGAAAAAGATAGCAGTTAGTATTCGCTGCTTGAGTGTGGAAATAGGGAATGAGGCAAATGTGCAACAAATGAGTGTGTTTTGTGATGGAAATGCAGCAATGCTTACACAATTCTGCAGTTTAGCAAGAGGACAGACAATTCACCCACTTAAAATGGTGACTTCTACAATATCTACATTGTACCTTTCGGTAAAGCTCCTAAGGAATAGATTCTCTGAGATGAAAACAATTTAAATTTGGATAATAAGACGAGGAGGAAGAGACTGGATAGTTGCTGCTTTAAACAGTGCTGTGTAAAAGCAGCTCATAGGATGGGATCAATTCCGTCCATGATGGGAACAGCCAGTGGCTGAAAACTAGGGATTTGTAACTTCACATTGGGCTGTGCTGCCCCAGGAGAAAACAAGAAAAGTTATTAGCAAGGTGAGCATGTGCGCATGGTGGGGAAGGGGTGTTCAGAAGGTAAAGAATGACTAAGGAAATATAAAACACACTAGAGAGCCAATGCTATTAACAACAGACCCAAATAGGGGCTTTAGAAAAGGAACAGAGAGAAAAATGGAGTGGAGAAAAACTACCAAAGAAATGTGCAAAAAATATTCCACATTGAGGACCCTACAATATCTTCATATTGAGAAAGTTCACTTTTGTCTCGTTTGTTTCTACAGACTTGCCTTTTCTAGTTGTTTCATGTAAACAAGAACTTAAAATAGCTCAGATTTTGTGTCTACCTTATTAAAAACATGCATTTTGAAAGTTCATCTTCAACTGAAATTTTCTATCTAGCCAGACTATCAATCATGTGTGAAAGTGGAAAAAAGTCATTTTCAAACACCTGTTCAACACCCTTCTTCCTAAATTTTCTGAAGAATGTACTTGAGCAAAGAGAGACGGTGAATGAAGACAAGGTGAAAATGGAGGAAAAACCTAAGTGACATCATGGAAAAGAGCCAAGCTGGGAAAAAGCTGGTAAACACCTGAAAGAATCAACTTTCTCTGAACCCTGTAATTTCACTAAAAACTTAATGTTTGATAAGCATTCCCAGGACAAGAGATAGTAGCTGGAACAAACACATACCTTGCTCACTGACTGGGAGAGATGGTATTTCAAGATGGTAATATTCCTCCCAAGTGATCTATAGATTCAATGCCATCACTACCAAAATTTTAGTGTTGTCTATTACATAAATGGAAAATATGATCTTAAAAAACATATGGATTTCAATGAACCCCAAATAGTTTAAACTATCTTGAAAAAGAACAGCATTAGTGGGTTTATACTTCCAACAATCAAAAGTTCCTACAAAGCTACTACAGTACTCAAACAGTGTGGCACCAGCATTGGGTAAAAATATAGGATAAAGGATTAGAAGTGAGAGTTCATAAATAAACACCAATGTCCACATCACCTAGTTCCTAAGAAAGGTTCCAAGGACATTCAATGAGGAAAATGTGTCTTTAATTCTGAATAGCTACATAAAAAAAAAGAATGAAGCTGGATTCTAATTTCACAATAGATACATAAATTAATTCAAAGTGGATCAAAAGCCCCAAAGTTATAAAAGTATCAAACCCTGAAGGAACCAAGGGTAAATATTCATAAGAGCTGACAGTCTTTTTTTTTTTTTCTATCTAATCCTAAAACACAGCACCAAAAGAGAAACACTCCAAGTCAGGAGTCATCTAATTAAAATGCTGAGCACTGAAAGAAGGAACTGAGACAATGTGTTCCAGCACAGGGGAAAACACTTGGAAATCAGGTATCTGGTACCTGATGGGGTTAACCACTGAAAGTGAAGAGGGGCAGGAAAAGGGAGAACAGGGAAAGAGAGGGAGGGAAAGAGAATATGTATATATGTGCATATGTATGTATACTACAAGTCAGTCAAACAAACCACCTAATGAAAATTTTGATAAAAGATATAACCTTCCATCTCATTGAAGTAACTGTTATTCTGATGTCTCTTTGAGAGCAGAAAAACTAATGTAATTATGAATACAAACAAATCAACCTAAAATATAATAAAATTCTTATGTATAGATAGGTAGGAAAATAACAAAGAGAGTTAACCTCATATGAATACTGAGGATACTCTGTGATTAAAGTTGAGAATTTTAGCAAAAGTGTACCTTTTTTAACTGGAGACTGGTGTTGCTGTTGCTCATTAAGACCTTGAGAAAAGGCTTGCATTCCATTCGTCTTACACTGTTGAGTAAGAAAACATAATTTTAAACTTGGGACTGAAGCGTTTATATAACATTTCTTTTTACCACCCAGAGGCATTTTGTAAGGCCTAAAATATTAATCACAGAATACTTGGAGCTAACTAATAAACTCCAGCTATAACTTTGCTTTTTCAAGTGAACAACAGAAAGCTGTTATTCTGCTGCACACTTACAGCTCCAGCACTCAGGAGGCAGAGGTGGGAGGGTTGTGAATTCAAGGTCAGCCTGGTACAGAGGGAGACAGTATTCCAAGTCAATCTCAGCTCAACTATGAGCTGCTGCATGGAGCGGGGGGGGGGGGGCCGGGGGCGGGCAGAATTCCCAAAAACAATATAGTTATTGCCATTGTCCTTGGTTACCCAACACAACTAGATGGTAAGACTCTGATTCTGAAACCACACATTTGGTTGTAGGACACAAAGGCATCAAACTATAACTGACCTGAAAACTTCCTCCCCTATGGCTAGCTTTTATAGTGCCAAAAGATGCTTTGCAGGCTACTGTGGAGCAAATTATCAATTATCTTATGCATTAATAAACCCTGTATGCTATATAATAGTGACTTACCAGTCAAGCTATGACCAGCAGTGAAACAGTGGCACGCATGTTACAAGGTTAACTAACCACATTCTGTTAAGATTTCAGGACCATTTCACAGAAGGGAATTCATGCGTGGTGCTGCAAACCTAGTCAAAAGCCTATGGCTTGTGAGGTAATATACTCTACGGGGATAATTTACTGCTGCTGCTTTGCTAAATGGACATGTCTAAGCCTTTCCAAATCTTCATGCCTACACTCCTAACTACTAATACTCTCATCCTTGGTCACAGACGTGTAGCTTTCATCCTGATGATACAGTGGTAACTGCTGTGGGATGTTCTGTATGTTAAATGTGTTGCTCTGATTAGTTAATAAATAAAACACTGATTGGCCAGTAGCCAGGCAGGAAGTATAGGTGGGACAAAGAGAGAGGAGAATTCTGGAAAGTGGAAGGCTGAGACAGAGAGACACTGCCAGCTGCCACCATGAAAAGTGAGATGTAAGGTACCAGTAAGCCACGAGCCATGTGGCAACTTATAGACTAATAGATATGGGTTAATTTAAGATAGAAGAACTAGATAACAAGAAGCCTGCCATGGCCATACAGCTTGTAAGCAATATAAGTCTCTGTGCATTTACTCAGTTGGGTCTATGCGGGACTGGCCAGTGAGAGAGATTTGTCCTGACCGTGGGCCAGGCAGGACTGGAGCAAACTCCAACTACAGATAACCATCCCCATGTGCTATGTAATACTGACTTGCCAGTGTTGAGATGTGAATAGTAGTGAAACAGTGGCATGCATGTTCTGCAGTTAACTAACCACATTCTGATAGGATGGGGAATAGTTAATTCAAAGATTCATAACTGGCCAAAGTGAACGTTGACTTCTCATCCCTAAGTGGAACACCAGTATCTCTCCCACCCCTCAAGACGTGGGGAATATCCCCAAGATGGGAGCGAAAACAATATAAGATATAAAGATGCTGTGAGATGCTTGCTGCTGGATGTGGCATGGCATTGTACACATGAACTCAGGGAAGCTATGGCCATCTGCACAAGACCTGCACACAATTGAGCCCTTCAGCATTCTCGCATGGGGGCAGAGGGGCACATGAGCTCCAGGACCAGATGGAGACTGTTAGCTTTAATGGTAGCTGGAAGAGAGGGGGTTATTCTCCTTTAGAGGCTCAGCCACTGGTGAGGTGCTCATGACCCACTAAGCAACCCACACCCACACACATGCAAGTAACAATAACTACACTCAGTGAGTTATAACACATGCACACACTTTGCACAAATAAACATGCGTAAAAAATTCTTTTTCACATCTGACATTTTAGTGGATGATCATTAAACTCTGAAACAGCCACTTCAAAGCAAGGCCTAACATCAAAGGTAAAATTATACTTTTTCATGCTTATCCACATTAAAATAACTATTATCTAAAATATTTCACACTTGTAAAAAGAATACTTACTAAAAGTTTTACAAAGTGATTATATATTCTGTGACATGTCATAATCATACAAAGGTAAGCAAGATTATCATGTTTACAGTCAAAGTAAAGACCAGATGAGTTCAGTGACAAGCCAAATGCCAGGCCAGAGTTGGCTGAAGTGGGCTTTGAAGACTGGTGCTAGTATGCACAGCTATGAGGTGTGTACCTAAAGGAGTGCCCTTCGTCATACTGATGTTGACTTTTAATGAATAGGAACAAAATATAACCATCTTGTAATTTTTCAATAATATTATTGGTTTTCTTCTAATTCTTACAAAGATGCTAGTTAGTTAGCAATCACCCTAATGAACGTAGTTACTTAAGGAACATGGGTACCCATGAAATAGCAGCACTTTGGTTTGAATTGGAAATACAAAGAAAAACATGACATCTCTTTTCAGGAACTCACAAATTCCCAAATATGAAACAACTTTCTCATAGACCATGTTCTTCAAATATTTTCTGTGTATATAAGAACAATATCAAAACCCAAAATATATTTCAAATGAATATAAAGAAAGAAGTTAACAAGAAAAAAATGGGCAATGATGTGAGTTGGCAATTCTCTTTGCACATACAAAAACTATTTGAGTCAAACTAAACTCATGAAAAGATACTCCAATTCTCAGGCCACAGAGATAAAAATTAAAAGCAACACAAGAATTTGCAACCACTTAGCAAGAAAAAAATGTTATGTCTGATAATAACAAGATAAGGACTTTGGTTAGGTGACAGAGTTCCATGTCCTACATAGAAAATTTACCTCACTGCATAATCTGAGTAGCTAACAGAGCTAAAGGTGAGAACATTGTTTTCTGTTTTATTATTTGTTTGTTTGTTAGTTTGATTTTCCAGACAGGGTTTCTCTTTGTAGCCCTGGCTGTCATGGAACTTGCTCTGTCAACCAGGCTGGCCTGGAACTCAAGAGATCCACCTGCCTCTGTCTCCCTGCTGGGATTAAAGGTGTAAAGGCCTGCACCTGTGAAAACATTGCTTAACACAGCAATTCTCTTCCTGGTTTTGTTTGTTTATTGTTTTATCACAGAGAACCTTTCAAACTTGAAAAAGTGAAAAATGCACTGGAGAGTCATTGTTACATTGGTATGAAATTGAAACAACTACCCATCAAAAGAAAACGGACTCACAATGGGGTCTGTTCGTGTAAGCTGAAGTGTTTTTCTCCATCAGCAGCAGGAGCTGCTCTGTTTGTTAGACAGTTGCCTAGCATTCCAGTTGTCAACTCTTGGGTACCCACAGCTTAATTCTGGATGTATCTGCATCAGGATATCTACTTAGGTTACTAGGAAATGGACCACCAGGAAGGGCCATAGGCCAGAAGGAAAGCTTCACTAAGTATCACTTCATGAATTTAATTTTTCAACACAAACATTGATGTGAAAGAAAATTAAAAAAAAATAAAGTAGTTAAAATAATTCTATTATGGCAAAAATTCAAAATATATTCATGGAAAAAATAACATCCAGGATGTTTCCATCCAGCTCTGGAGAGGGTAACAAGAAAAGGGAATTAAATTTAGAAAAATATACAGTGAGTTTTGAATTGTCAGGCTTTTGTTTTTAATTTTTTAAACAAATATAGGAAAAATATTACATTTTAAAATGCTAAGTGAGAAGTATATGGGTGGCATGCAATCATTAATATATGTATGATATATATCTTAACTTTTTTTTAAAAAAGAGAACAATACTCTTAACATAAGATCTGGCATACAGCCATTTAGCAATGTCATTTTATAGTCTATCATGTGTGTACATATATTACACAAACACACACACACACACACACACACACACACACACACACACACACAGTCCCTGGATAAGCATGAACTATGCCACTGAGCTACTCCAGCTCAATCTGTTATAATCTCTAAGACTTACTCGGCCAACTCCACTTTGTAAGCACTGAGTGTTACATGGATATTCATTCTGAAAGTTAAAAGGGAATACTGGTCCTGTAAGAAGAGGGAAAGACTATTTTAAACATTCACATGTTCAATCAATGATATACCATAGTCTAAAAAGCACACGTTTGTGACATCTTTGGCATTGTTACAAAATGCTTACGATGGTTCATTATCCAACATATATTTATTCCACCCTGTGATGTCATAGCTTGTTAGGAGAAAGGTAACAAGCATGAGACATCTTCACAGTCTAAAAACAAGCTCATAAGTAATGGTTACCATATAATTTCATACACAGTAAACTATACTCTTACTGTGAGCTTTAGAGAAATCACAGGGGTGCCCTAGTTGGTTGAGGGTACCAGGAAGGTTTCACAAACGAAGTAATTTAATCTGCATTTGAGGGAAAAGAAAATTCTTCTGAGGACCTGAGCTGTGCAAAGTGTGCAAATATGTTGTGAAAGCTCAAGATTGATTTTTTTTTAGTTTAGCTTTCTATCTAACAAGCCTCTAGTTTATTGTATCGTAAATGTATTATACTTCAATTACAGATCAGGGTCACCTCGCATTCCTTCCCATTCCTCTATGTCACAGCCTTAGAGGAAAGAGGTCAGTGAGAATCTGGACCTTCAAAATCGAGATAGGGAAGAGTGCTGACAAAAGCTGATCACAGGGACAAGATCAATGGAATCGAATCAAAGACCTGGATGTAAATCCACACACCTATGGACATCCGATTTTTGAAAAAGAAGCCAAAATTATACAATGGAAAAAGATAAAGCATCTTCAACAAATGGTGGATATTGATTACAACAGATAATTGGATGTTGGCATGTAGAAGAATGCAAATAGATCATTATTTATCATTCTGCATAAAATTCAAGACCAAGTGTATCAAAGACCTCAACATAAACCCAGTTACGCTGAACCTGATGGAAGAGAAAGTGGGGAAGAGCCTTGAATGCATTGAATGCATTGGAGAAAACGTCCTGAATAGAACACCAGTAGGACAGGTACTAAGATCAACAGTTAATAAATGGCACCTCATGAAACTGAGAAGCTTCTGTAAGGCAAAGGACACTGTCAATAGGACAAAACAGCAGCCTACAGAATGGGAAAAGATCAACCCCACATAGGACAGAGGGATGATCTCCAAAATATATAAAGAACTCAAGAAACTACATATCAACAAACCAAATAATCCAGTTAAAAATGGGGCACAGATCTAAACAGAGAATTCTCAAATGGCAGAAGAATATCAAATGGCAGAGAAACATGTTCAAAATCCTTAGCCATCAGGGAAATGCAAATCAAAATGACTCTGAGATTCCATCTTACACCTGTCAGAATGGCTAAGATCAAAAAACACTGATGACAGCTTATGCTGAAGAGGATGTGGAACAAGAGAAACATTCCTTCACTGCTGGTGGGAGTGCAAACTTCAACACCCACTTTGGAAATCAATATGGCAGTTTCTTAGAAAATTAGGAATCAATCTACCTCAAGACCCAGCTATACCACTCTTGGGCACATATCTAAATGATGCTCAATCATACTACAAGGATACTTGCTCAACTATGTTTATATCAGCTTTATTTGTAATAGACAGAACCTAGAAATAAGCTAGATGCTCCTCAACCGAAGAATGTATTAAAAAAATATGTACAATAGAGTATTACTCAGCTGTTAAAAACAATGACATTAGTAAATTTAAAGGCAAACGGATGGAACTAGAAAAAAATCATGCTGAGTGAGGTAACCCAAACCCAGAAAGACAAACATGTACTCACTCATAAGTAGATATTAGCTATAAAGTAAAGGATAAACATGCTATAATCCACAGACCCAGAGAGGCTAGGTGACAAGGAGGACCCAAGAGGGAACACATGGATCTCCCTGGTAAGGGGAAACAAAAGAGATCTCCTGGGTGGACTGGGAGTGGGTGGGGATGGGAACTGAGGGATCTGGTTGGTAGGTGGATGGAGGGGAAGAGAACTAAAAGAGATGTCTTGATGGGGGGGCATCGTGGGGTCAGGTAGAAATTTGATGCAAGGGAAACTCCCACGAATCTACAAGGATGACCCCAGCTAAGACTCCTAGCAATAGTGGATATGTAGCCTGAACTGGCCGTCTTCTGTGATCAGATTGGTGACTACCCTAATGATCATCAGAGAGCCTTTATCTAGTAACTGATGGAAACAGATGCAGAGACCCCCCAATAGGCCAAGCTCAGGGAATCCTGCGGAAGGAAGGAAGGAAGGAAGGAAGGAAGGAAGGGAGGGAGGGAGGAAGGAAGGGAGGAAGGAAGGAAGGAAGGAAGGAAGGAAGGAAGGAAGGAAGGAAGGAAGGAAGGAAGGAAGGAAGGAAGGAAGGAAGAATTGAACGAGCCAGAGTGGTCAAGGACATCACAAGAAAACCCACAGAATCAACTAACTGGGCTCATTGGAACTCAGAGTCTGAACCAACAACCAGGGAGCCTGCATGGGACTGGCCTAAACCTTCTACATACATGTGACAGTTGTATAGCTTGGTGTACTCATGGGACTCCCTAACAATGGGAACAGGGACTGTCCCTAATGCTTTGGCTGGCTCTTGGGAACCTACTCCTCATTCTGGTTGCCTTGCCCAGCCTGAATACAAGGGGAGGTGCTTAGTCTTACTCCAACTTGATATGCCATGCTTCATTGATACCTATGGGAGGCCTGCCCTTTTCTGAACAGAAACAGAAGAGGAATGCATTTGGGGGTAAGGCTGGGAGGAGAGGAAGGAAGGAAAACTGCAGTCAGGATGTAAAATAAATTAACTAATAATTTTTTAAAAGATGATCACAGGAAGGAACATCTGCTATTCACTCTATGATAAATTGGAAATCTGACTCTACTCAGGAGCTTACAATTCAGAGGACATGGGATCCACACGCCAATGCTATTGACCTGGAAGATCCAGTAAGTTACCTGTCTGTGTTAATGCACAACTCTCTTGAAAGGGAGCATGACTACGCACTGACCATTTTCTTGGAGGAACCAAGGATGGGAGCAGTTTGGTTACATGTCTACATTTCCTGCTTCATTTTTATAGAAATAAAGGGAATATATTTTTCCTTTATTAAGCAATCCATTAAATCAGTGGGACAAACTAGACTAAAGAAATTTTGAAGTAGTTTATATGTGTGCCACTTAATTTAGACCACCGAAACCATTCTAGCAGCAAGGAATCACATATTTCAAGATTGTGCCCAAGAACACTTTCGTGAACAGGAAGAAAAACATTTAAGATTGGGAGATGGGTTACCAGGGATTGAACCTAGGACCTCGCATGTTCCAGGCTCTATGAATTAGTTATATCTCTAGCCAGATTTGCATTCTTTAGTAAATGCATTTATTTATTCTGTGTGTGCGTGCGTGTGCGTGTGCACATGCCCATGCCATAGTACACACGTATAGGACAGAGGACAACTTGCAGGAGTCACTTCTCCCTTCTACCATATTGGTCCCAGGGATCAAAGTTGGGTCTTCAGGCTTGGGGGAAAGCACCTTTATCCACTGCACCATTTTGCCAGCCCCCTTGGTTTTATTTTGAAATAGGTCATTACTAAGCTGTCCAATCAGACCTGAATTGTCTCTGTGGCCCAAATAAGCCTGGAGTTTGCAATCTTATTTCCTTAATGTCTCAGGTAGTTTACAGGTCTCAGCCATGAGTCCTGGCTTACTTACATTGTTATTGTTGTTTAACTTCTGAACAGCTCAAGCATGTCCCCAACTCCTATTGGCATTACATGCACAATGTAATGTTAGCCTCTAAGCATTGTTTGCTACAAAAATGGTCATTTTATTTTCCATGTTTTTAAAAGACATTATACAACATGACTACTATGCACTGGCAATAATCACAAGGTACAAATAATTTATATGGAGGGTGTTTCTTTGACCAGACACCAGTTAACTATGCAATAAGACATTAAAATAAACAAACAAACAAAGTCAGCTACTTCCAAGTAAGGGCTTATTTTCCCTTCCCTGACTGATGTGGAAGACTCAGGGTCAGCAGATACTAATAATCTCTTTACCATTAGATAGCATTTGTAAACTCTTCCAACAGAAGGAATCATTAATTTTTATTACTTCTTTTTAAATCCACCTCAAATAATTACTTATAAATGATTTAACCTTCTAAATACTAATTAATGGTTAATAAATTAATACTTAAAGAATTAAATACTCCATTACTCACCTGGAGAAGAAGAGAGATGACGAACAGGTCTTGCTGGTTGAAGCGGTTTGCCAATCAATTTTTTGGTTTCCATTGTCATAAAGACCTTGAGGTTCCATACTTTAATAGGGAAAAACACATTTTTATCTTTTAGGCAAAATAATAAAGACCATTTATACCCTTTCCATATATGTAAACAACAATACTGATTTGAAAACATTAAAGTGGAAACACACATGAAACTCATTTAAAATATTCAACCTCCATACAGTCTTCACCACAGTTACACTATCCCTCTTTAAGGGACTTCCTCCTTCAATTTATGTGACTCTATTATCTTGTATTGTTTCCTATGTCTTTGGCTGCCTCTTCTAATTACTTTAACTGATTCCTCTTCTACTCTATAATTATAAATTTATGGATGATTACATTTAGCTTTAGTCCTATCAGCTAACTCATTGATATTCATATTTACAGCTATCCACATACACATGAAAATAATAATGTGATGTATACCTTAGCCTTTCTAGCCCGTTATTTTCATTTCTACATTACCATTGGGATGTCAATTAAACATCTCTAAAATGGAGTTAAGAGCTGTGGTATCAAAAATGTTCTTCTCCTGAAGTCTTTAATCATTAACTCCCTTAAACACCCTTTTACTAGACACACCCTCAGTTTGATGGTTTTAGTCACTCTGATTCCTGCCCATTTTTTTCTGCCAAAGATTCCTCATGTATTCTTATCTATTCTCTTAATTTCACAGCCCTGGCAGTCCTTGAACTCTCTCTGTAGACCAGGCTGGCCTCAAACTGCCTCTGCTTCCTGAGCGCTGGGATTAAAGCTATGCGCCACCACTGTCTGGCCATAGAAGTTCTTAACTGATCTCTCTGACCACCTTTTAAATAGACGTAAATGATTCCCACATGTGACCTTGTGACACCAAGAATATGTCTACATTATAACATTTAGAGTACATAACATTTAGAGGACATTATAGTATACTTTTTCTTCCGTACTAGACAAAAGTAGAAAATAGGTTCTTCTTAATGAAGAAACATTAATTCACCCAATATCCTCTGAAAAATATAAAATATGGATAAAGCAGGCTGTTCCTTGAGCAACTAGATAAATATTGTCATCTTTTGAACTGTGATCCTTTTGTATACACCTAAAGTTTAAAAACATGAGTATGTGACTAGTGGTACATGCCTGAAGGCTGTAACCACTACTGCTTGGATAATAAGGCAGGAGAATTGCAAGGCCACCCTAAACAACTTAACAACATCCTGTGTGAAAAATAAAAAAGTTAAAAATATCTTGGAATATATCTTAAGGGTAGATAGATATATTGCCTACCTTGCACAAGGATCTAGATTACCTGACACTACCAAAACAAAACAAATATATTGCCCACCAGTTAAAAATCTTCTGCACTAATAATAATAGAAGCAGGTTATATCCATGGTATGTATAACAAACCACTTTCGTACATATTATTATAAATAACTCTATACCATTTATAGAAGTCAGGAAGAGTGGTATACCCTGTAATCCTACCACTCAGAAAGCTGAGGCAAGTTAGAGGCCACATTGGGTCACCTAGTTAAATCCAAAGCCATCCTGAGCTACTTGGCTGGGTCTCAAAATTAATGATTTTTATGTAAGCATGCCTGGATTCATATCATGCCTCTAACACCTACCTATATGACAGTAGATAATAACCGTCGTACTCCCTCAGCTTGATGTAAATACTAAATAGTATAACTTACATAAATCACTGAGGAACGCTGTTGTTACATAATTCAGTAGAAGTTAATGTGTCATTCTCATTTTATAATTCAGGTATAGACAGAGAATATAATCACACAAGGTCAGCAGATTAGGAAGTGATGGCTAGGCTTTGCCCATGCTGGGGGACAATCTTCTATCCTTCCCACACTTAGGCTAAACTGCTCAGATTCTCAATAAGAAGCCTTTTTATGATTTCACAAAACATTTCTGTAACCTCTTCCAACCCCGTACTTATTACACACATTGCAACTACCTATTAATCAATGTTTAAATTTTTTGAGAATTTCATACACATATTCAATGTATATGATCATATCAATCCTCTCTACTCTCCTCCACTCTCAGTCCCTCACCAACTATTAAACTCCAGTTCTCCCTTTCAGGAACGCATCTCATGTGAGCCAACTCCTCTGTGAATGTGGATACTCACTAAGTTGTAGAATGAATGTTATTCTGTTTCACCGTAGATGCAAATCCAACTATGTCTCTAGACTCTTCACTCTACCTGCTGCTCTTCAACCAAAAGCCATTAATCTTTCTGGACCAAAAGCAAGGTGTTGCTATTTCCTCACAGAATATCTTCGAGTCTCAACACATAGCTTAAAGCAAAGTAGCTTTCAATGTTCTGATAAGTAGTAAAAAGTAAAATAATAATAATTCTGCTTTCCTTACCTTCCTTCTCCATTGGTCTATTCTTTCTGCTAAAATATAGCATGTAAATATATGTTTATTTGAATATACCAATAATTGGCTGAGGCCACAGGAACTGGATTTCAATTATCTTTTCATCCTATTATCTACAACATAATTAGTTTTAGTAAATAAACCAAAAAAACCTTTCTTATTATACTAAAATCTCCAAACATCTTCATAGTACATGGCTTCCTAAATTCTGGTGTACAGACCTTGCTTAACTTTAAACGGGTCATCAAAAATTAATTATGATCTGGAAGCCATATTTACATTTCCTCAAGCATAAGATATGATTACTAATTACTGTTTTGTCCTAAGAGATGCTCTCTCTTGTTTAAAAGTCTGGACATACATAATTCCAATATTACAATAATAAGTATACTCCTTAGTCATGCTAACTCATCTCAGAGTTAATTTTTCCTGAAGTGTGGGGAAAACCAACCAGTAGCCATCAGTGCCTGTCTTGCTTTCTTATATGAACTGGTGCTGTCTTAACACAGCAATTAGCCTTCCAAACAAATCAATACTGCATTTGTTCATGACACAACACTGATCTAACAGGAAGAAAAAACCCTCAAATATATATTGACTGTTTCCTATACGGAATATTTAAAATAAGGGTCAAAAGCCGTCTAATGTGAATTATTAACTATAATACGTATTTCTTCACTTCATGGTCATCCTAACAGTTCTGATGAGGACTCTAGTAATACCACACAGCAACTGTCCTCCCTGTTTCCCACATAAAACTAGTGAATCAGAACACAAAAGAATAGAAGACCTTGGCACACAGTTCCTTGTTTTCCATTGCTCAGCTGAAACTGAGCTGTAGACTGTGAAGTCTCTTCCAGCTGCTGAGCAAGGGAAATCCACAGTATTCAAACTGGGGAATTTCAAGAGTTGGGAGTTACAGATCTTGCAAAACACTAAACAGAAAATGAAAGCCCTTTTGGTACCACCTACCTTCCAGTTGGCAGTAGAAAAGAGACACCTACGACTTCCCATATATAAATTCACATCAATCAGGAAATTAGAAAATATGGTTGCACACATACTTTTTAATGTATGTTTTCTTTTAAAACCAAACTCGGTTTTCACAGACACACTGACATGATAGAGGATGATTTAGAAATCACGCTATCATCATTTATTAATTAGAGGGTTAAGTATTTACAAGATAACCACCACACACATCTGGGCTACGGATGCTAATCAAGAGAGGACTCCATGAACCACAATCCAAATTTCCATTAATTAAAAATAACAGAAGTTTAGCTGAACTACTAAGGTGGTGTATAAAATAACTTCAGTGTTTAATGCCTGTTTCATCCTAGAGCTTAACAGCTTCCTTGATGCTGCCAGCGCTACCCAGAATATGCATTTATCTCCTCGACTTTTACAAAGGACAGTAGCTGCAAAAGAAACAATCTCACTGATAACGTTGAGTAGCAAAGGGCAGGCCCCTAAGAAGGTTCTCTTTTAGAATGCAAATGTACAGTTTGTGACTTAGACCTCATTATATTTTTAAAAGATATTTTTAATTATGCCTCATTTGGCATAATATCTCAAAAATATTCATTTCTATTAATATATTCCTCAGAATGATTGCTAAATAGTTTCTTTCAAGTTTGGAAAATGTATCCTCTTGAAGGACCAGTTGCTTAGGAGTGAAATCAGTGGACTTACTAGCCCTATTAGTGAAGCACATTGTGGCTATTATTCCGCAGGTGCCAATACTAACTACATCCTCAGGTCCTTTCTTGTTTTGCAGAAGCTGTCCTCACCAATTCTGAGATTACAAATTAACTAGAATTTTCTAAAATAGAGTAGAATAAGCACGTAAACTGAAAAATTTGGATGCAATCTGTATAGAGTAGAGATGTTTTAAATTAAAACACCATTTCTTTAGCTATTACTACATCCTAAATACCTTACTTATGTTACTTCAACATTGAACTATACATTAACTGTTGAAATGATTAGTCCCACCTTACAGATGAGAAACATGAGGTTCAGAAACCCCAGTCCACAGAGTTAACCAATTCATCAGTCTCCAAAGTTGCTTAATTTGTTCAGACATGACTCCACTGTTAGATGCAATTATTTTATGTATTGATGAAAAAATTAACTAGGAGACGGCACATGCATGTATAAAGCCCTGGTGAATAAACTCTATATGCTAACACTTTCCATTTCCTCAATTATTTCATTACGACATGTTTTCCTCATACTAATCATAATTCAGAGTTTAAGATATATAGGGCTGGGTGTGTGGCTCGGGTGGTAAAGTACTCGCCTATCACGTATGAAGCACTTGATTTGATTGATCCCCAGCACTGCAAAAAACCTGGTATGATGGCTCACCCCTATAATCCCAGCACTTGGGATCAGGAATTCAAACTCATCCTTGGCTTCAGAGTGAATCAGAGACCAGCCACGGCTAGACACACTGAGCCCTAAATTAAAACCTCCCCTTTAAATTCTGGGCGTCTTGAGGATAAGGATGTATCTCAGCGGGAAAGCGCTACACTAGGATGTGTGAGGTGGAGTTTTAGTATAATTTAAAAACAAGATCACTTTTATTTACCTTCCGTATATATCTCATGTGAAAACTCGTTAAGATTTAAATTCAATTTCCTACTTCAAAATTCTACACTACAGAGTATCTCTTAAAACCAAACGCTGCTTGTTAAGACAACCAGTCCTGATAAAAAATAATAAATGAAAAGTAAGAAAACAAACAGGAACGGGAGACAGAATCTATTACTAGGTAGTTCAAAGAATTTTATATCCCATACATCTAACTGGACTATTTGGTTTTTAAAAAATCAAAAACTATCCAACAGCTACACGTAGCATCTTATTTTTCCGCACTTTCTCTAAAAAAACCCAGGGGGGTGGGCGACAAAAGAGTTTTTTGTTGCTGTTTGTTTTATGTTTGGGATTTTGGTTTTGTCTGTTTTAGTGTCTGTCAATAAAAGACACAGTTTAACGAATCGCTGAGCCAGGATGTCCAGGCAACAGGTGTGTGCCGAGCAGCCCGGACCTTCTCTCCAGCGGGCACCTGCGGGCGGGCGGG